AATCAGTAGTGAGTTAAAGCATTTTTTTCATATGGCTATAGATAGCTTTCATTACTTCATCTGAAAACTGTTCATATCTTTTGATCATTTATCCATTGGGGAATGACTCTTATTTTTATATATTTGACTCAGTTCTCTGTTTGAGAAATCAGGCCTTTATCAGAGAAACTTGTTTAAAAAATTTTTGCTATTTGCTATTTCCCTCCATTGGATTTGCACCTTATTTATTCTATTCTCTCTCTCCTTTCACCCTGCCCCTCCTCAGAAATGTTTTGCTTCTGACTACCCCTTCCCCTAATCTGCCCTCTTCTATCACCCCTCCCCTTTTTTATCCCCTTCCTTTCCTACTTTCCTGTAGGGTAAGTAGGATAGATTTCTATACCCAATTAAATGTGTATGTTATTCCCTCTTTGAGCCATTTCTGATGAGAGTAAGGTTCACTCACTACCCTTCACCCCCTCCCTTTCCCCCTCCACTGTAAAAGCTTTTACTTGCCTCTTTTATGTAAGATAATTTATGTCATTCTACCTCTCCTTTTCCCTTTCTCTCAGGGAATTCCTCTTTCTCACAGCTTAATTTCTTTCTTTCTTTCTTTCTTTCTTTCTTTCTTTCTTTCTTTCTTTCTTTCTTTCTTTCTTTCTTTCTTTCTTTCTTTCATCCTTTCTTTCTTTCCTTCCTTCTTTCTTTCTTTTGATATCATCACTTCATATTCAACTCACACCTGTGCTCTCCTTCTATATGTACTCCTTCTAACTGCCCTAATAATGAGAAAGTTCTTATGAGTTACAAGTATCATCTTCCCACATACGAATGTAAATAGTTTAAAACTTATTAAGCCCTTATAATTTCCCCTTCCTGTTTACCTTTTTATGCTTCTCTTAAGTCTTGTATTTGAAAGTCAAATTTTCCATTCAGCTCTGGTCTTTTTATCAAGAATGCTTGAAAGTCCTCTGTTTATTGAATGTCAATTTTTTTCCTCTGAAGGATTATACTCAGTTTTGCTAGGTAGGTGATTCTTGGTTATACTTCTAGAAACTTTGACCTCCAGAATATCATATTCCAAGCCCTCCAATCCTTTAATGTAGAAGCTTCTAAATCTTGTGTTATCCTAACTGTGATTCCATGGTACTTGAATTGTTTCTTTCTGGCTGCTTGCAATATTTTTTCCTTGATCTGGGAGCTCTGGAATTTGACTATAATATTCTTGGGAGTTTTCATTTTGGGATCTCTTTGGGGAGGTGATTGGTGGATTCTTTCCATTTGTATTTTACCCTCTGGTTCTAGAATATGAGGGCTGTTTTCCATGATAATTTCTTGAAAGATGATGTCTAGGCTCTTTTTTTTTTATCATGGCTTTCAGGAAGTCCAATAATTTTTAAATGATCTCTTCTCGATCTGTTTTCCAGGTCAGTTGTTTTTCTGGGGAGATATTTCACATTGTCTTCTATTGTTTCATTCTTCTGGTTTTGTTTTATTGTTTCTTGATTTCTCATAGCGTCCTTAGCTTCCATTTTCTCAATTCTAAGTTCTAAGGAATTATTTTCTTCAGTGAACTTCCTTTTCCATTTGGTCAATGTTGCCCGCAACCAGATTGTACACCAAATGGAGAGGCGTGAAATAACTTGTGACCTGGGCCAGGTGGAGTAGAATTACTGACTCAGTTTATTCATCTGAGGGTACAGGATATATAGAGAAAATCTAGCCTAACTTCAAAGAGTCCTCCCCATGAGATACTCCCCAGAACATCTGCTGAGGATGTGACAATAGTGAATTTCCTCCTTATCAGGGTTCCTAGATTGGGCTGTAAATTCCAAGGTTTTCCCAGGCACCTTGGCGCCACATGCATAGAAGAGTGAATGTGTAAATCTAAGGTTCAAAGAGTGAGAAGGAATGTCTCAGGAACCTCCTAATCAGGAAGGAATTGGAGAGCCATGCCACTTAATCATTGAGCCCTTTTGGGTAAAAGCCTGGGCAGAGGTCAAACTCTGCCTTGGATCTTAAACCCTTATCAGACTCTTAAGATCGGCCCTCAACAAGTCAATTCTACTTTTTAAGGAGGTTGTTTTCTTTAATTAATTTTTGTGCTTCTTTTTCCATTTGGCCAATTCTGCTTCTCAAGGCATTCTTCTCCTTATTGTCTTTTTGGGCCTCTTTTACCGTTTGGCCTAGTCTTTTTTAAAGTGTTATTTTCTTCAATATTCTTTTTCTTCTTTACCCAGCTATTAACTTGTTATTCATGCTTTTCTTACATCACTCTTATTTCTCTTCCCAATTTTTCCTCTACCTCTCTTGATTTTCAAAACACTTTTTGAGCTCTTCCAAGGCCTGAGACCAACTCATATTTCTCATGGAGACTCTTGGAGCTTTGATTTTGTTATCTTCTTCTGAGTGTATATTTTGATCTTCCTTGTCACCATAGTAACTTTCTATGGTGAGAATTTTTTTTCTGTTGTTTGTTCATTTCCCCAGCTTATTTCTTGACTTTTAACTCTTTGTTAAAGTGAGGATCTGCTTCCAGGGTGTTGGCTCACTGCTCTAAGCTTCAGGGCTGTCATGCAGCTATTTTCAGAGCTACTTCTAGGGACATGTAATTTTTTAGCCCTTCCAAGGTGGTATGATCTAAGGAGAGGCATGTTTACTACTCTCCTGCCTTGTGCTCTGGTCTGTGAGTGACCACAAGCATTCTTTTCTGCTCTGGAACTGTGGTGGGGGCCCCTGCTCCCCTGCAGCAGCAAGCTCTGGTGTGCTAGTGCTCCTCCTCACCCTGGGACTACCACCCAGGATTGTGACCCATATCCAAGTATGGGCAAAGTAACAAGAGTCCTGTCTCAGTGCTAGCAAAAAGACCCCTGTAATCTCCTTTTGACCAGTTGTTTAACTGCCCAACCATCTGTGGGCTGAGCGCTCCAGAAGCAGCTGCTACTACTGCTGATTCAGTGGCTCCCAGGGCCTGTTCCTGGTTTGTGGGGGGCTGGTCTGTGCTGGCATGGCCTATGCTCCACTCTTACCCATGTGTGACAGACCTTTCCTGCCAACGTTCTAAGTTCTCTTTGACTGGAAAATTATTTTGCCCCGTCCTTTTGTGGGTTCTGCCACTCTAGAAATTGTTTTATGGCATTATTTAAAGGTATTTGAAGGGGCTTTGGGGAGAGCTCAGGTGAATCACTGACTTTTCTCCACCATCTTCCACTCCCTGAAGTCTTGACCTTCTTTTACTCAATAATCTCCAAACCAGGAATTCTGCAGATTACAATGTTAGAAGGTTGTCTGTTCAGGCAGCCTGACATCAAACTTAGAGTGCAATACACAAATGGAAGAAACCCAGAGGTACACAATGAACTCTCAATTATCCATGGGCAGTGTTCAGTTTCTGGGTTATCCAAGACATTCATTCATTTCCTGTGTTTCCCTTGTCTACATGAACATTGTGCTTCTCATCCAAAAACAGAATAGAGCTGGATAGCAAATTTAAATTCTGCCATTTGACTATTGGAAACAGCTTACTTATTCCTGACTGACTGATTAAAAAAGCATTTATTAAGTGCTCTTTTTGTGCATAGAACTGTACTTTGTGATAGGGCTACAAAGAGTAAAGTAAGATAGCCGCTGCTGTCAAGGAGATACCTTTATAATAGGGAGATACAATACATATGGAAGTTTTCAGTTGAAAAGATCACTGGAAAGGCTCTTGGAGTACAGTGGGTAAGGCAGATGATAATTCATATTCTTTAGTATCTTTTCCATCAATAAAACTACATATATTTCTGATGCCGAATCATTTGACAATGCCAGGGACTCTGATGGTGAGTACTTTATTTTCCGAGACTTCAATAGTTGTGGCTGCTGAAAAGGTGGTCCTACAATACCCACAGAAGTAGTAACCAAGGATGCATATCCACATATGTTCCTTCCCTGGATAATAGCTGTGGGGGCCAATGATCAAGGTTCACTGTTATTTCCAGTGCTCTTACCTTATTTGCCTATGGGTGGTGGTTGGGTGTGTCCAGCACTGAATGGAAAAGAGATATAAATTGATGGTTGGCAAAAAGCCTACTGATTATCTGTGGATTTAAATTATTCCATTCAATAACAAACATTTATTAAATTAAATTATTGATGCTACCAATGTCCCTCTGACCATAATGTTTAGATCAGTTTATATAAAATATCGACAGCTCTTCTTTATGTAAAATCCCATAATGGTAAAGTTTTGACTAATCTCTCTATTCCAGAGCATATATGAAAAGTATGTTAATTAAATAGTTTTTCTTTCTTTATCATAGGATGATAAGATATAATATTGGAAAGAACCTTGGAGTTCATGCAGTCCAACCCCCATATTTTATAGATGAGGAAACTGAGGCTCAAGGTCACATACAGACAGGGCAGCAAAATTGGGTAGTGGTCTTTCTGTTCTATCGCAGTGCTTTCTCTATCTGTAGTTCTCTCTATGGAAGTGTTTTCCACAGTTCCCCAGATATAAGCACAACAGGAGAAAGTCATTTCAAGAAACCTTCACTGTTGCGTAGCTTTGTTTTGATGCTTTGTCTGATGTTCCAGGTGAAAGGGAAGTAGGCAAGAGGTTGGACTGAGTCAGGAATAGGGTTGGGGGAAGTGAAGTCTCAGGCATTTTCCCTTAATTTGGAGAAACTTAACTAAATTTTGAAAGGGAGACACTCTAGCCTCACATTGTATTCTATTCTTGACTGGAACAATGAGAGCTTCCTGTGGGAATTCTCAGTTCACCTTAATTCCAGGGCTGTGCATGATAATCACAACAATAATAATAACTCACATTTCTATAGTGCTACAAGGTTTACAGAGCACTTTCCTGAAGGTAGCCTTGAACAACAAAGGCTGGGAGAATTGAGGAACCGTGTGATCAATGTTCAGGGCCACAGGTGTTTAAAAGGAACTTTAGGCCAAAAGAAATTCAAGCACTGACTTTAAAGAAATGCAGATGAAACACACATCCTTCTTCTCCCCATTTTTTGTTCCAGGCATCCTATCACTTTTGACCTGACATGGTGTATATCCTGGATATCTCTCATTCATCCCAGAGTTCCTTTCTATTCAGTTGTCTCCTCCTCCTTCTCTATCTCATGGAGCTGAATGCAGGTAAGATGTGTTATTGTCACAAAACAACCTAAATACCCCTCCTTCATTATTTTGTCAGTTTCACAATTCATTCTTCCTCCATTGCCCTGTCCAACAGCCGAAAGCTAGGACGGTCTTCAGAACTGTAATTTAAAATGTGGGAGTCAGCAAGTCTCACTCAGGACATTTATATCAGCATTACAACCTATGACCATCCTTAACTAGCCCTTATTAAATCATTCATTTGGTTAATGTATTGGCTAAATCATACATTTATTCTGTAATCTGCCCTTTCCATTGCCCTCATCAGTGTGCACACGGTTAGAAAGTCATAGGCCATTGAATCTAAAGCTGAACAGACCTCAGATATCATCTATTCCAGACGACAACAGACCATAGTCTGAGGGTCAGATCTGATCCCCTGCAAGTTTTTATACTGCCCACAACCTAAAAATGGTTTTTACATTAGTGTAAATGGTTGGGGAGAGAGGGAGTAGAAAGAGGCTCAGGCCTGGAAGGTAGTAAGATTAATCTTTCTGAACTCAAATCTGGCCTCAGACACTTACTAGCTATGTGCCCTGAGGCAAGTCATTTAACCCTATTTGCCTCAGTTTCCTCATCTGTAAAGAAAAGCTCAAGAAGGAAATAGCAAATCATTCCAATATTTTTGCCAAGAAAATGACTGTACAACAACAGCAAAAAAATTTTTACACAAATATAAGACAAAGATTTGGCCCTTGGGTCATAATTTGTCAATTCTTGATCTAGTCCAACTTCCCTCATGAGGAAACTGAGTCCCCAGAGATATAAAATGATTTGCCCAAGGACATAAAGGAAGGAAGTAATGAAGCTGGGATTCGAACTGAGGTCTTTTAACTCCTGAAACTGGTTTTCTTTTTACTATACCACATGGTGCTGTTGTTGCCCAACTTTCCTCTGTTAGAAACCTGATCAACAAATTCACACTAAATTGTTAATGACTAACAATCATTTAATATCATCAAATAATTGTCCACTAAATTATGAATGACTTTGGTTCCAGCAACTCATGCTACATCGGTGTGAAAGCATCTGCATGCATGAAATGATAAATCTTTTCAAATTTTCAAATCACGCTACTTTTAGCAAGAGGAATGACATTACAAAAGAGGTTAAAGTTTAAGGCTAGTACCCTTCAAGTAATACCAAGAAAACAACCTTCCCCTCTCTTCCCTCAATTAAATACCTAACTGGATATGGTATTGTGCTTGGAGTTATACAGAACAAATGACCTGATGTAAGCTTCCTAGGTGCTTAATTTATGAAAGACACACCATGATACAGAGAGATATATGGGATACCTACCAACTGTTAAATATGTACCACCTGGGAACATCTCAGACAAGCTATTCCAAGTTCAACATACTCTGGAGGGTCCATATCCATGTATTCACTTTCATTAATTAGCTGGAGGACACAATTAGTTCAAAAATGAAATAGCTTAGTAAGATACTAGAAAAACATGTCCTCCATAATGTACCCACTGCATTCCTTCAGAAACATTTTAGGGTTTCCCTTTCAACAAAACACTAAGGAATATCCGAGTCTCTGAGACTCCCCTATTTTTCTCAACTCTGAGAGATTATTTATGGTCATATAAGAAAAATGAACAGAAGGAGAAAAGCCAAGTGAGAAACCACCTTAGGTAATTCAAGGCATGGCTATCCACCTCAGTGATATAAGAAAGGAATATGCAATTACAGTACCTACTATGTGCCAGCATATATGCTAAATGTTTTACAAATATTATCTCATTTGAGTCTTACAATAACCCTGTCAGGTAGGTGCTATTATTATCCGCATTTTACAGTTGAGGAAACTGAGGCAATCAGAGGTTAAGTGACTTGCCCAGGATCATAGCTAGTAAGTATCTGAGGTCAAATTTGAACTCAGATCTTCCTGATTCCAGGTCTAGAACTCCATCCACAGCACCACCAGCTGCCTGGTCATATATCTCAAGCTAAAAGAGACCTCAGAGGGCACGGAATCTCTCATTTTACCAATAAAACAATTGAGGCTCATGGATTTGCCCAATATCACAGGGTTAGTAAGTGTCAGAAGGGGATTTGAACCTAGATGCTCTGAACTCAGGGCCAATGCTTTTTCTGTTGTACCAGGAATAGACGTATGTGGTTAGCAATAAATTTTGAGTCACATACAAATAAAAAGTACTAAACACACTATGAAAAAAAATGTTATATGATTGAATTCTAGGGTTCTGTTGGGCAAAGAGACATTAAGGAAAGTCATCAAGCCTCTTCTAGTAGTTCTGGAAGGGTTTTTTGAAGAAATAGAACATCAGGAGATACAATCTCTATTGAAGATTCACAGTATATTGGGTGATGATCTAAGTAATATCGGAGAATAGTGGAGAAATAGGAGATGTGATCTTTGTGTTCATGGAACCTATACACTACAGCATTTGGGGGGAACGTGCACACTGCCGTGTTCCCCATATCCCATATGAAAAAATATATAAATTAATTTGCAGCAGAGTGGGGTTGGGCCTAATTCTGGCCAGTCCCCTTGTCATTTTTGCTTGATATTGGAATGAAATGAGACTCTTGCAACTTATTCAACAGTTGACAAAAGAAGTTTTACAATCATAACAGAAGGGGAAGGGAAAGGAAGAAATAGTTATATAGTACCTTCTATGTGCCAGGCACTGCACTAAACAGGTTTTACAAATATTATGTCATTTTGTCTTCACAAAAATCCTGAAACGAAGGTCTTATTATTATTCCTATTTTTTACAGACTAGGAAACTGAAGTAAAGTTTAAGTAACTAGCTTATTCAACAAAGATATTGTTGAGCAGACCCTGAGTTGGTTCAGCTGAGTAAAGCAAATGTATATGGAGTCCCTTGTGGCTGTTTTGTACTTGGTAACCAGGAAGTGATATTAATAATCTGAGCCATTAATCCCTCAAACCAATCAAGTCTCAAAATGGTTTCAATGCCTATTAAAGGAAACACTAGCCTAACTTGCAGGAGGGAGTGGGTATTGCTCCCAATAGAGCAGTGTTGCACAACATACAGCCTGAGGGCCCCTTGTGGCCCACCAAAGTAGCCCAAGGGTGGTATGTTGTGCAGGCTTGCACTACAAGATGTGAAGTGCCAGGAGAACACAAATTAAATGAGTGATTGGTGCAATTCACAGGGATATCTTCATAGAGGTGAGATTTTAGTTGGAGTTTTTAAAAAAACTGAAAGAAACAGGTTGGTGAAGAGATGAAGAGGAACATATTCTAGGCAGAGACATGACCTGTGGAAAAATATGGAGGCAGGAATAGGCACATTATGTTCCAGGGACAGGAAAAGCAGGTTGGCCTGAGTGGAGCATAGAGGGGGTATCTGCAGGCATCTTAACAGATGAATCAAGGGGAAAAAATCCGGTGGGAAGTTCTAGAAGGCTAGACTAAAGTATTTGGATTAGATATGGTGAGAAACAGGGAACACTTGTAAGTTCTTAGGTAGAGGAATGATATTCAAAGTTTTTTTTAAAGTACTTGTGTGATGGCTTCTTTATTGCAGAAGATGGATTGGTGATTGGTCATAGAGAACCAATTCTGGCCATGGTTGGGGAGGAGGTGGAGTTTCCCTGCTACCTACCTTCCAAATTGGATGCAGAAGACATGGAGATACGTTTTTTCCGGAACAAATTCTCTGAAATTGTCTTTATCTACCAAGATAGACAGGAGCTATTCAACAGACAAATGGTAGAGTACCGGAACCGGGCACAATTAATAAAGGATTACATCCAGGAGGGGACTGTGGCCCTACGCCTTTTCCACATTGTCCCTGCTGATGAGGGTCAATATGGATGCCTCTTTCAATCCAAAGACTTCTCCAACAATGCTACCTGGGAGCTGGAAGTTGCAGGTAGGAAATCAATTTTCCTTGAAGAAGGAGACAGAATGAGATAAATTGCTTTGAAACTCTTTTGAAAGGGAGCTAGGTTGGTCATGAAGACATTTAATGCCACTAAATGCAAAAATAGGATTCTAAAGAAATATAAGATATTATTCCAAGTCTTAGGAAGGTCACAGCCTAATTATAAGAGACCCCCACCTCCACCCAATAATGCTCACATGTGCATGTATGTGCACATACACACATTCACACACAGAGTATGAGGTAAAACAATTACAAAGTAAAATGGGTAGAAAAAGTGAACAAATTAATGAAAAATCATTTATTAAGTGCTTGCTCTGTGCCAGACATTGTGATAAACACTTGGAATACAAATACAAATCAGAAAAACAGCTCTTACCCTCAAGGAGTTTACATTCTATCAGAAGAAGAAAACATATAGGGTAATGATGACTAGGAGCAGTGTTTGGGACAGAGAAGTCAGAAGGATGGTGTTCGGAATCATAGGGCATAGCTTTTCCAGGAATGGTAATGTTTTGATTGTGGTTCTCAGAGCTAGAAGTAGAAAGGGGGAGGGGGAGGAGGAAAGCATGCATGTATGATATAGAATGGCACAAAAATGGTTGGGAAGGAGCTTGGTGAGTCTGGCTCTGGGCAAAATGAGATATTAAATGCTTGCCAGTAAGAGTCCCAGGATATGAGCTCAAGTTCCTAGTCAGTGCTAGAGGCTGAAGGTCAAGAGTGTGGCAGCTTGAAAATGATGGGGGAGTGAGGTGGTAGATCAGGGCAAATGCATTTGATAAACTGTAGTGCAAATTGAATATGTGATTATTGAGAAAAAAGTGAATTTGCTTGGATTTCCTTTGTTTTCCCAGGACTAGGCTCAGATCCACATATCTACTTTGAAGGTTTTGAAGAAGGAGGCATCCAACTGAGATGTAATTCCGAAGGCTGGTACCCCAGACCCAAGGCAGCATGGAAAGATTATCAAGGGCAACAACTACCCTCTCTATCAGAAGCTATAACCCAGGATGCTCAGGGACTTTTCCACTTGGAAATGTCTGTGGTGGTCAAAGAGGGAGCCCATAGCAATGTGGTTTGTTCCATCCAGAATACCCTCTTAGTCCAGAAGAAAGAATTTACAGTTCATATAGCAGGTGAGTGGAAGGAATCATCATTTTCATCTTAATTGTCCTCATTTAATGAATAATTTACTTTAAAAAAATTTTTTTCTTTATGTAGTATTTTATTTTCCCTCAGTTACATGGAAAACAATTCTTAACATTCCTTTTTAAAACTGAGCTCCAAATTCTCCACCTTCCTCCCTCCCCAACTCCCATTGAGAAGGTGAGCAATTCAATATAGGTTACACATGTGTAGTTATGCAAAACATATCCATAATAGTCATGTTGTGAAAGAAAGCATAGACAAGAAAAAAAAATCTCAAGAAAAATAAAGTTTAAAAAAAAGTATGCTTCAATCTGTATTCAGATACTATCAGTTCTTTCCCTGGGATGGATTGCAGTTTTCATTTTAAGTCCTTCAGAGTTCTCCTGGATCACTGCATTGCTTAGAATAGCTAAGTCATTCATAGCTGATCATCTTACAATATTTCTGTTACTTTGTACACATTACATTTCACTTTGTATCAGCCATGCAAGTCTTCCTAGGTTTTTCTGAGAGCACCATGCTTATCATTTCTTATAGTACAATAGCATCACATCATAATCACATACCACAATTTGTTCAGCCTTTCCCCAATTGATGGGCATCCCCTCAACTCAGAAAAGAGTTGCTATAAATATTTTTGTCTGTATAGGTCCTTTTCTTTTCTTTTCTTTTCTTTTCTTTTCTTTTCTTTTCTTTTCTTTTCTTTTCTTTTCTTTTCTTTTCTTTTCTTTTCTTTTCTTTTCTTTTCTTTTCTTTTCTTTTCTTATCTCTTTTGGGATACGGACCTAGTAGTGGTATTGCTAGCTCAAAGGGTATGCATGGTTTTATAGCCCTTTGGGCCTAGTTACAAATTGCTCTACAGAATGGTTGAATCAGTTCAAAATTCCACCAACAGTGCATTGAAGTCTCAATTTTCCCACATCCCCTCCAACATTTGTCATTTATCTTTTCTGTCCTATTAGCCAATCTAATAGATATGTGGTGGTACCTTAGAATTGTTTTAATTTTAATCTCCCCAATCAATAGTGAGTTATAGTATTTTTTTCTTTTGGTTATAGATAGCTTTGATTACTTCATCTGAAAACTATTCCATATCTTTTAATCATTTATCAGTTGGGGAATGGCTCTTATTTTTATGTATTTGACTCAGTTCTCTATATGTTTGAGAAATGAGGCCTTTATTAGAGAAACTTGCCTCAAAATTTTTTCAGTTACTATTGCTAATTGTATTTCATTCTATCCTATCCCCCCCTCTTTATTCTATTCTTTCTCTCCTTTCACCCTGCCCCTTCTTAAAAGTGTTTTGCTTCTGACTACTTCTTCCCCCAATTCTATCACTGCCCCCTCCTCCATTCTCTTATCCTCTTCCCCTCTTCCCCTCCTGTAGGGTAAGATAGATTTCGATACCCAATTAAATGTGTATGTTATTTCCTCTTTGAGCCAATTCTGATGAAAGTAAGGTTCATTCACTCCCTCTCAACTCCTTCCTCTTTCCCTCCACTGTAAAAGCTTTTTCTTGCCTCTTTTCTGTGAAATAATTTACCCCATTCTACCTCTCCCTTTCTCTTCCTACCATGGCATTCCTCTTTCTCACACTTTAATTTTATTTTTTAGATATCATTGCTTCATATTCAATTCATACCTGCCCCTTCTTATCTCTATATATACTCCATCTAACTACCCTAATAATGAGAAAGGTCTCATAAGTTACAAATATCATCTTCCCATGTAGGAATGTAAACAGTTTAAACTTATTAAGTCCCTTCCCTTTCCTGTTTACCTTTTGATGCTTCTCTTGAGTCTTGTATTTGAAGTCAAATTTTCTATTCAGCTCTGGTCTTTTTATCAGGAATGCTTGAAGGTTCTCTATCTCATTGAGTTTCCATTTTTTTCCCCTGAAGAATTATACTCAGTTTTGCTGGATAGGTGATTTTTGGTTGTAAGTCTAGCTCCTTTGCCCTTCAGAGTACCATATTCCAAGCCCTCCAGTCCTTTAAGGTAGAAGTTGCTAAGTCTGTGTTATCCTGACTGTGGCTACTTGAATTGTTTCTTTCTGGCTGCTTGCAATATTTTCTCAGGGAACTCTGGAATTTGGCTGTATTTGAGGAGGTGATTGGTGGATTCTTTCAATTTCTATTTTACCCTCTGTTCTACAGTATCAGAGTAGTTTTCCTTGATAATTTCTTGAAAGATGACGTCTAAGCTCTTTTTTTGATCATGGCTTTCAGGTAGTCCAATAATTTTAAAATTATCTCTTTAGGATCTATTTTCCAGGTCAGTTGTTGCTCCAATAAGATATTTCACATTGTCTTCTATTTTTTTCTTTATTTTGATTTTGTTTTATTGTTTCTTGATTTCTCATAAAGTTATTAGCTTCCATTTGCTCCATTCTAATTTTTAAGGAATTCTTTTCTGTTGGACCTCTTTTCTAATTAGCCAGTTTTACTTTTTAAGGTATTCTTTTCCTCATTGGCTTTTTGGACCTTTTTTTTTTAACCATTTGATCTAATCTGTTTTTAAAGTGATATTTTCTTCAGTATTTTTTGTGTGTCTCCTTTACTAAGCTGTTGACTCATTTTTTTATGATTTCTTACATCATTCTCATTTCTCTTCCTAATTTTTCCTCTACTTTTCTTACTTGATTTTCAAAATCCATTTTGAGCTCTTCTATGGCCTGAGACCAATTCATATTTTTCTTGGAGGGCTTTTGTCTTTTGAGTGTATGTTTTGATCTTCCTTGTCACCACAGTAACTTTCAATAGTTAAGAGTTTTTTCCCCTTGCTTGCTCATTTTCCTAGCCTATTAGTTGACTTTTAAGTCTTGGTTAAAGTAGGACTTTGGGTGGAGGGTGCACTGTCCCAAGCTTAAGGGGTTTTGTGGAGTTGTTTTCAGAGATATTTCTGGTGACCTGTAAGTTTTCAGTTCTTCCAAGATGGTATGATCTAAGGAGAGATGTTTACTACTCTCCTGGCCTGTGCTGTATTCTGTGAGTGACCATAAGCACTCTTTTCTGCCCTGGCATTGTGACAAGGGTGCCTGCTCCACTGTGGCTGCTAGCTCTGCTATGCTAGAGCTCCTCCTCACCCTGGGACTGCCACCCACAACTATGACCAGACCTGAGTATGGGCAAAGCAACAGAATCCTGCTTCAGTGCTAGCAAAAAGACCCCTGTAATCTCCTTCTGACAAGTTGTTTAATCCCTTTACCATCTATGGGCTGAGAGCTCCAGAAGTAGCTACTGCCACTGCTGATTCAGTGGCTCCCAAGGCCTGTTCCTGGTTTGCTGGGGTAGGGGCTATGCTGGTGTGGCCTGCACTGGACTGCTCTCCTCTCTCACCATGGCGCAACAGACCTTTCCTGCTGACCTTCCAAGTTGTCTTAGGCTAGAAATTTGTTTCCCTGTCTTTTTGTAGGTTCTGCTACTCTAGAATTTGTTTATAATCACTTTAAAAAAGTATTTGGAGGAGTTTGGCTCTGCCTCCTTAATAATAATTTTCTTCCTAATTATCATCATACTAAAGCCTTCATAGAATTAAGTGTGCCTAAAACAGTGAGTGAGGGTGTTTGGGCACACCCTGGGAGAGCATTCCCATTTGACCCTTTCTCACTGCTCTATAAATACCTGTGGTTAAGTTCTTAAGTACATATGTAACCACTTGGGGGAGCTTGTGAGCAAGTTTAGACACGTAGAATCCCATAGCTGCTGTGATAACATTGCTATGTCAATCAAACTCGTGTCTGAAGGTCTCTAGCAAGCTAGTGGGAGAATTCCCACTTTTCCCTCTCCCCTTAGAGGTTAATTTTTAAATGCATAGGGAAAAGCCCTAAACTTCTCATTGAAGTCAAGGCGATATTTATTGTTCCGCATAATGTTTCTTTCTGTACTCAAAGTCTCCTTTACCTCAGGAGAGGTGTTTTCCGCCCCCTTGGGTAAGGCTTGTGAAAGTTAACATTGCATTCTCTTTCTCTGCTCCTCTTTGCTCCAGCCCCTAAACCATCATTGCCTGACAAAACTTGTCTCTCATCTCTGATATGAACAATTCCTATTCTCAGTGCTCCCCTACCCAATCCTGTCTATATCTGTACATTAAGGTATTCCCACTGAATAGCCTGGTTTTTTTTTGTTGTTGGACAGAAAATTTTTTTTTATCACATTTATTGGCTTAGGGAAGAAAGTAACAGCTAAGGGAAAGGATTAAGCTTCCAAACCCCAAGCTGCCTTTTCAACAGCATATTGGGATTAAATAATAGCAAGGAATACAAAAGTGAGGGTGATTCAGGCAATAAACAGAAAGGAGCTCCCCCTGCTCTAGGGATAGGAGGGAGGACAGGGGAAGGAAGGGAAAGAAAGACAGTATGGCTTGGTGGTTTGTATAGAATGCCTGGTCATGATAGTATCTACCACACCAGATCTCCCACTTCTTACTATGGTTTCTCTGTTGCAATTCTCAACAGTCATGGGGGTAATTTGACCTGATTCCCCTTCTAGCCCAGCATGGCTTCTTCTACAGCTATTTGGGATGGCCTCACATCCTCCTTCTTACCACAAGCCCCTTTAAACTTAAGGTTGGGGGCAGATACCCAAACTTGAGAATGCTGGGTAACCTACCCCACAGCAGGTAGATTCCCTCCCCCATGTCTTTTGAGTCATTCTCTCTCTTTGGGCAAAGACAAATGCAGGTTATATTCCTTAGTAGGTCGAGAAATTTTGCAGCCCCTTGCAAAATCTGCTGAGGTATACTTTACCTTTGTAAATACACTCACATACACACAAATATACACACATACATACATACATATATATATATATGTGTGTGTATATACATATATCACAATCTTCAAAATAAACATCAGCACTTAAGGGAATAAAGATGACAGTGATGTCAATCCTAGCTTAGTAATGACGACAAACCCTTTGTTGCATATTGCAGATGTATTTTTACCCAAAAATTCTGCCTGGAGAGGAGCATTCATTGGAACGTTCATGGGGCTAGCTATCATTCTAGTGCTCTTCATGATTCTGGCATTCTATTTCTTCCGGAAGCAACAGAGATCCAAAGGTAAAATGGCAATTCCAGTTTTGGCCTCACTCATAAAAAAAATAAAATAAGGTGGTGTGCACCAGAAGTGCCTACAATGTACTATACAAAGAGGACAAAATATGAGAACAAAGTATGACAGTACTATAAGAGTAATAGAGATTAGGTAGAAGGAAAATGAATTCTCTCCTTGAAAGAAGATTTGACCAGTGTGCTTTGGGAAAGGCTGTCTGGGTTACAGGAAACCTGCTACTGGAAGTTATAAAGAAGACAAAGATTACCTTTGGATATTTCAGTGCAAAAATCAGTTGCTAATAAACAGGGATTCTTAACCTGGGGTCTGTGAACTTTAAAAAAATAGTAACTGTATTTTAATGTAATTTGTTTCTTTTGTAATTCTATGTATTTTATTTTATAAATTTAAAAACATTATTCTGGGAAGGGGTCCATAGATTTCACCAGATTGTCGAAGGGGTCCATGACACACACAAAAAGTTAAGAACCTCTACTTAAAAGAATAGCCTATGAAGATCCAGAATAACTTTTTTTTTAAAAATCCTCTCTTTCTTCTTCCTAGAAAAATTGAAGAAAAAATCAGAGAAGGAAAAAGGTAAATGGAGGCAATAACATTTGGGATAGCATCCTCTTTAGTGAGGAAAAGGAATCTTAGATATTATTTAATTCAAATCTCTCATTTCACAGATGAGAAAGCTGAGGCCTAGAGCAAGTTCATGTTCATATAGATAATTAGCGACATTTGGTACTAGAAAAAGATGGCTATTAAAGCTATGTAAGTAGTATGGAAAAAAGACAAGGGTCAAAAATGAATTGACTGAGCAAAGGGTATTGGGAGCAAGATTGTTATTTCTCCTTTCCTTCTGTTACTCCTCTCACTAGAATTTTTTTCTTCCTAATATATAGGCTATAACTTTCCAAGACAGTAACAGAGCATTTGCCCAAGAGCATGAGAAACACACTTATCAACATGTTAAGACTCTCATTGGACTAAAAATATCAAATCTGATTTTTCCAATATTTTGTTTAAATTTGTAATTTCCTTCTTGTTGATCTTTCTGATGTTTTTTAAAATCAGTATTTGTTAGATTATGTCACTAGACCGACCTCTAGCTCTGTTACTCTGGTTTTCATGATTCCAGAGTAAGACAGCCTCAGTGGTCTTAATTCCTAAAATACCCAGCTGGTGGCTTGACACTACTGGGATTTTCTTAGGCTACTATAAAGAGTTGTCCTATCTTGCTAATATATTTTTCTTTTTATTTCTCTTTCAGGAAAATTCACAGCTGAGCTGGGTAAGTTCTTTGCTTGTTGGACAATAAGTCAGAGAGAAAAGAATAAAATGGTTTTAGGTCCAGTACCTGAAAAAAAAACCGGGATGGCATTCTATGTCATTCTCCTGTAATCATTCTATTATTTAAAACATTGATAAATCGATTAAACAGTAGGGGCAGTCTTACCAATAGGTAATATAGCATCATTTAAGGCATTGTGAGCTCCAGGAAGTCTTTTTCAAAATATCTATCCATTTAGATCCTACTAGCAGCTCAAATTCCATCATTAGAAATTAATTCCTTTTTGTTGCTATATCCTTTTAAAAATGCAAATATTTGATGAGTTTTGACAAAATGTCTGAGTGAGCATGACTAAGATCAATTTTCTTCTATCGTCTCAAAAAAGGAAATGAAAATGTACCAGATAAATAAAGGAATAATGAACAAAAAGAGTGGTTAGACAAAAATCTCAGAGGAAAAACTTTGCAGGAAAAATAACAGAGAAATGAGTAAACAAAAGAAAAAGAGAGGTCAGGGCAGGTAGGTGGCACAGTGGATACAGCACCCACCCTGGAGTCAGGAGGACCAGAGTTCAAATCTGGTTTCAGACCAGACACTTGACACTTACTAGCTGCGTGACCCTGGACAAGTCACTTAACCCCAATTGCCTAGTGCAAAAAAAAAAAAAAAGGAAAGAAAAGAAAAGAAAAGAAAAAAGAAAGAAAAAAGAGAAAAGAAAAAGAGAGCTCAATGCAATGAATAAATACTGCGGGTGAAAGAAATCAAGGAGAAATCTACAGAAGAACAAAACTACAACAATGAAGGCTATTCCCTCAAAAGAGAGGCTAGAGACCTATCATATGAACCTCTAGTATGATTCAGAAACTCAAAGAAATAAAGGAAGGCCTGGTATCTATAATAATAAATGAAGAAAAATAAGATCTTTGAACAAAAAATACAAGTGACACCTTAGGAAAAAAACCAGGGCAAGTTTGTAATAAAACAGTAGACTCTGGAGTAAAATGAATCATGTGGAATATGAAAATGTGAAGTTGGCAGAACAAATAAGAGAGCAAAATATTTAAAAATAGCAAAGTTAGAAAGGGAGTTCACAGCACTAAAAACCAAAGTAACACAGCTAGAGGTCAGTCTAGTGATATAATCGAATAAATATTGATAAAAATAAAGATAAAGATAAAGAAGGAAATTACAGATTTTTTAAAATGTTGGAAAAAGTGATTTGATATTTTTAATTCAATCAGAGTCTTAGTATGTTTGCATGTGTATTTCTCAGCTATTTGGAATTTTTACAAAACTTAAAGCATAAAAAGTAATAATTAAATTCAGATCTGCAGAAAAGCTATGTGTATCTTTTAAAGATCATAATACAATAAAAATGTATTCAAAAAAGGAAAATATGGACAAAAATGTAGGTATAAATGAGGATTAAAATAAAATCATAATAAATTAGCAGATCAAAGTACAAATGATAGAAAATAACAACATCTGCATTAAAAAGAATACTAACAGTATGATAACAAAAAAATTGTGGGATGATGCTACAATGGTTCTAAGAGGACACTCCATATACCTAAACATATACATACATATGTATGTTTGTATGTATGTATGTATGTATGTATACATACACATATACACACACAAATAGGAAAAAAGAGGGCCCAACAAATGTAGCATGCAATTAGTAAGACTAGAAAAATAACAAATTACTATTTTCAAAACAATCATAAAAGAGATTTTGAAAATTCAAGGGGAAATGAACAGAATGGTAAATATTATCCAAATGAGCAAAACAAAAGAGCCATTAAAAATTCAGCTAAGTGGCTCAACTGATAAAATACCCACCCTGGCCTCAAGGGAATTCCAGTTTAAATCTGGCTTCCGGCAAGTCACTTAACACCATTGTCTCAAAAAAAAAGTTTTTTTAAAAGTTCAGAACATCAAATTTTTGGTTTTGATACCAAAAATGACAAGGGAAATTTTGCACCAAATAGAAAAGAAACAAAGACAATTATCAGAAACTACTGTGCCAGATTATTGCCAACAAAACTAAAAGCTTAAATGAAATTAATTTAAGCAAACCGCCCCCCCCAAAAACCCCCATGATATCCAAATTTATAAAACAGTAAATAACTTAGTCTTAGAAAGAAAACATGGGCAAGTCACATGAATAATTTCTATAGAACAAACTCCAGCACTAGTCAGATTTATAAATGAATTCTATCAAATAGTTAAACAAAAATAATCCATATTTTCCAAATATGATGAAATCTCCCTAACAAACTTTTTCTAAGAAAGAGATAGCGAGGTGGATAGAGCACTGAACTTGGAGTAAGTAAAACGCGATTTCAAATATGGCATCAGACCCTGGGCAAGTTGCTTAATCCCATTGCCTAGCCAAAAAAAAAAAAAAGACAGAGAGAGAGAGAGAGAGAGAGAGAGAGAGAGAGAGAGAGAGAGAGAGAGAGAGAGAGAGAATACAGTTGAGAAATTGAGGTCACAGGAGGTTAAGAAACCAGGTAAATGTTAGGGGTGAAATTTGAGTGCTGGTTCTCTGACTCTAGAGCCAGTGATCATTCCACTGTGCTACTTTAAATGAATTTATACCAATTAACTAAACATTTAATAACTAAGATATGAGTGAATTACCAAATGCAGAAAGGTGCTTGCTTGAGAGCAGTCTTTGCAGCAAAGAGGAATGAAGGGCACAGGAGAGTGTAGAAATAAGAAAGGCTAATTTTGCCAGTTTAAAACAATAAAATTTTAGAGCTGGAGGGAGCCTTAGGGATAATCTAATCCCTTCATTTTATAGATGAGGCAGCCAGCAGAGTTGGCTTACTAAAGGTCAGACATCTAGTTAGTGGCAGAGCTGGAATTACAACTTCTGTCTCCTGAGGGCCAGGGTGCTCTTAACACTATATCACATTTCCTGTTACTGTGGAAATAGTGAGTGGAAAGAAACCCTTACCATAGATGTGCTGGAACCAGCTCTAACCACTCTCCAGCTGATTGTTAAATTTTCAATGTAAAGATTTTTATCTCAGAAATTGGCAACCACTACAAATCAGGGCTTGATTTATTGTTTTGTTGATTGTGTAGACTTAACAAAGTGATAAAGAAAATGTTAATAATGTAGACTAAGCTTAAAAGAGTATTGTGCACAGTTCTGTTTTGTTTTTTGCATTTTTTGGAGACTTGGTTGTTAAACATTGACCAGCACACTCCTTCCTGCAACTCCAAGTTCCCAACAAATTGTGAAGTTTTTCTTTAATGATCTTTGATGACTTCTTCCTTTTCCTCCTTCTGAACATTTTTTCCTTCCCTTAAAAACTCTCTTTCCAACAAGTCTTAAGTGATTAGTCTGACCACCAAAACTTCCAGGAAGTATGTTTGATGTTACTAAGACCACAGTAGGGCAGGTAGGTGGTGCAGTGCTGGGACTGGAAGACCTGAGTTTAAATCTGGCCTTAGAATCTTACTAGCTGTGTGACCCTGGGCAAGTCACTTAATCCTGTTTGCCTCAGTTTCCTCATCTGTAAAATGAGCTGGAGAATATCTTTGCCAAGGAAACCCCAAATGAAGAAACAACTGAAAAATGACTAAACAAAGACTATGGTGTGAACTCATTTTTAATGGGATACCCTTCTCTATCTACAGAGTTCTGGGAATAAATATGTAATGATGGAACTAAGAACTCTTCAGCACCTAGGTCAGAGAACAATTTTTGGCAAGCTCCTTCCATCCTAGGTGATTATTCTGGTTTCCAAGGCTTATTTAGTTCTGAGTTTGTACAGGTCCTGGTCAGGAAAAACAAATCACTAGCAGCTCCTTTAAAATGAATCTGATCATTGGGGAATGAAGGTGATGTGAAAACAAAATATATCAGTAAAAATTTAAATAAAAAACTAAAGTAGAAAACAAAATGAAACCTGACCCCTTGGGAAAGGCACTAATACCTTTTTTTGTTTTAAGGCAATTGGGATTAAGTGACTTGCCCAGGGTCACGCAGCTAGTAAGTGTCAAGTGTTTGGTCTGAGACCAGATTCGAACTCAGGTGCTCCTGACTTCAGGGTGGGTGCTCTATCCGCTGTGCCACCTTCCTGCCCTGACCTGTCTTTTTCTTTTGCTCTATCCACTGACAAATACTCTTGAACAGTGTTTGATGGGTTACTTTTAGACTAATACCCTCTGCAGATTTCTACTCTTCAGCAGAGCTACTGTTTCCAGGCTGGGACTCCTGAAGAGGGCCTATAGAACAATCTAGGAGCAGTTAGGTGGCACAGAGCACTGGCCCTAGAATCAAGAGGACCTGAGTTCAAATCCGGCCTTAGACACATAATACTCACTAGCTGTGTGACTGTCGTCAAGTCACTTAACCCCGATTGCCTCACTAAAAAACAACAACAACAACAAAGTAACAGAATGATCTAGACTTTTTCCCCTTTTAGGGGGAGGGTTGGAGGAAGAAAAGAGGGGAGGAACGGCAGTGGACAGCAGAGAAAGGAGGAGAAGAGATGGGAAAGGATAGTGGACAAGGAACATCAGTGCTTTTAGATCTTGGAAACTCTTTTCCTTGGCTTTGCACCCTAAGAATATGCCCTTCTGGCTTTAGAAAGGTCCTCTTGTCCTAAGGAGCTTGGTGAATTGATACATTTCTTGTTTTGTTTTATAGGTAAGCTTCAGACAGAAATTGGTGAGTGTTCCATCTCAGATCTACTTCATACCTTTGAATATTTCATTGTGTTTGGGGTCAGCCAGTTTACATGCCTGTTCAGCATCTTCCAACTGTCAACATCTCTTGAGTGTGAGCAGAACGAGGCTGCTAGTATGCGTGAAATAGGCAATGAGTATACTTTTATTCTTACCTCTTTCCTTTGTTGTTTTCAGACTGGAGAAGGGCAGAAGGACAGGCTGGTGAGTGATTCTCTGTCTCTCTCTCTCTCTCTGTCTCTCTGTCTCTCTCACTCTTCCTCTCTCCCTCCCTCCATCCTTTCCTTCCTAACTTGGCTCAAAATACTTTCCCTATCCCAAGCGTTCTCTAATGAATGCCTCCTACTCTGACAACTTTTTTACTCTACAGCAGTGCCACATGTCTTCTATGTGAATTGATAGGGTCATAGACTTAGAGTTTGAAGAGCCTCTAAAGATCATTTAGTCTAACTGCCTTATTTCATATATGAAGGAATTGAAGCCCAGAGAGATGAGGTGAAAGTTTATTTATTTGAATTAATTTGGATGTATTGCTTTGTAAACATTCTCAAGATATTTTCATTTATGTTGTTTTGGGTTTGCAACTAAACCATAAACTTATGGAGAGCAAATCTGTCTTCTTTTTCTTTTGCATTTTCTTACAGCATTTGTATCAAGGATCTGTATAGTCAGTGGCCACTCCAATGTTTCTCATTTATTCAACAAGAAAAAAAATTGTCAAGTGCCTGTTGTGTGCCAACTACTTTGTCTTGTACAAAGATATATGACATGACTTACACCTTCAAAGAATTTACAATTCAGTAGGGCAAGTGATATGCACTCAAAAACCCTATCATGAGGCTTTGCATAATAACTGACATAGTGTAGCACTTGAAGGATTCATGATTTTAACCATGTGGACACTCCCTATACTATAAAGATGGCAAATCCCACTTCATAGCTTTTGTGAATTGCTATATCTCCCCTCTCAAAAAAGTATTGATCATTGAAAGACCAACTTTCTTATAATGAAACTGGCTGAACTTTGGTAAATTTGACCTTACTCATCAGATCAAGTTTATATCTTTCCAGTGTGGTGGGACCTTCCAGAATCTGTGCTTTTAATTAGCATAGTCTTTGAAAACCTAGGGTCATCTCAAAAATAGAATGAGCCTTAGGACTAGAACTTAAATGGAGGATAAGTGTCAATCTAAGTGTGAAGAAAGTGCAAAAAAAGAAGGACAAACATTGAGGTGTTATATAAATGCAGGTGGTAGTGGTGATGCTGGTGGTGATGTAGGAGATGGTATTAGAGTAGGACCATTAGAACGGGAAGGTGGTGACTTGAGGTAGAGGTGGGGATTGGGAGTAAAGCATATCCATGTAGAACATTACCTTGCTACTCATTCACTAAATGTTCCTCTTCCCTAAATCCATTATCTTTCCCCACTCATGTCTCATTTGAGGATTTATTTTGTCTGGAGCTCAAGCACTTGAGCCTTTCCACTCCTATTCTCTCCAGAGTTATTAGCTAATATTTCTCTTTCTCTGTTTTCAGAGTGGAGAGCAGCCAGAAGATATGCAGGTAACCAGAGCATATGGATCATGTTTTTATTTTATGTAATCTAACTGTGCCTGCTTCATGATATATTAGATGACAATATGTATAGCACCTTGCAAACCTTAAAGCACTCTGCGTGTGTGTGCGTGTACATACAAGCAATGATGATGATGACTATTATAGTACTCCATCACAAGAAGGTACTCAATGAATGCTGCTTGATGGTTAGGAGTCATAGTAATAGCTAACATTTATATAGTGCTATATAATTATTATCTCATTTGACCCTTACAACAACTCTATGAAGTAGGTTCTGTTATTTATCCCCACTTTACAGATAAATAAACCAGGCAGGCAGAAGCAAAGTAATTTGCCCAGGGTCTCCCAGCTAGTATCTGAGGTCAGATTTGAACTCAGGTCTACCTGGCTCTAAGCCCTGCTCTCTATTCACTGTACCACCTAGCTACAGTTAGTAAGAACTTAATCTCAAGCAGACAATGAGAGAAAGATGGTAGCAAGGTCTGTGACCAAGTATGGGTGTGCATATGTGCACATGCACAGATACTTAGAATTGGAATGTACCAGAGAAATAAACAAACTACTTCAACCTATCCATGAATAGGAATACCCTTTGTAAGCCCCTTAATATTAATCAATCAACATATATTAAGCACCTGCCTCCACTTGAAGACACTCACTGACAGGGAGCCTACCACCTGTGTAGTTAGGCCCTTACACTTTGGACAGCACTCATTTTTAGAAAGTTTTATTTTAGCTTTACATCGAGTTGAAATCAAATTCCCTGCAGCTTCCATCTGCTGCTTCTCATTCTGCCTCCTGGAGGTTTAAGTGGAACAAATCTATTCCCTAGCCTGCTTAACACCTTTCTTTCATATATTCAAAGGTGGCCTTCATGCTCCTTAGTCTTTCTCTTGTTCAGGTTGAACGTGCCTGTACAGGTATATATAAAAAATGTGTGCATCTGTGTAATACATCTACATACACACTATATCCATATTTATTCTTACTCCATAGATACCTTATGATTTTCTGCTATGGTCTCTCATCTCACATCCTTTTTTTTTAGATCAGCTCTATTTTAAAAGCATAGAACTTTAGCTCTGTGACATTGCATGGGGGCAAAGAAATATGACTCAGACCTAAATCCACAAAAGGTTTTAGTGTATGTCATCCTAGTCCAACACCATCTCTTGGTTCTTGAATACACAGGCATTCAAATAAAGACAGAGTGGGAGTCCCTGTTTATTACCTTCAAAGAATCAAAATCGAGCTACTAATGTACTCCCAGCTTTAGGAGTTAGGAAATGAACAGGTGTTATTTTCACACATAGAGAAATACCTAGGATTTTTGCCTCTGGGGCAAGGGGAGTTGGGCAGGTTAGAGCGGAGAGAGGTTTTACTGTCAGGTAAAGGAAGTACACCTCCTGGCAGCATGAAATCTCAGTCTACACAGATGAATATATGGTTATTCCTGGGGTGAAGGTAGAGGGTGGGTGTGGGAAGCTTATTCGAGATATGGTTTTCAGGAAAGAAATAGCACATCTTGGGGTAGGCTGCTTTAGAGGGCAGGACTGAGCAAGGGAGAGGAAACACAGCCCCAGTTAGTGCTGTTGGTACTCTCTAAATAGCCTGCCTTGGGTAATGCTGTCTTGGTCCCACTCTGGTTAAAATTTTGCGTATGTTGCAAACAAGGAGAAAATGAGACCCAAAGAAGGAAATAAGCTTACCCAGGGTTGCACAGTAAAATGAAGAGAGAACCAGAAATCACAATTTAAAAGTATTGACTCCCTGCAGCCTTCTCATAGACCAACCCTATTCCTTTCTATACAGTGAATATAACTCTGGATTCGGATACTGCTCATCCCAGCCTTAAGGTCTCAGAAGATGGCAAGAGTGTTATCTATTGTGATATAAAGCAGGACCTTCCAGATGGCCCTAAGAGATTTGAAGACCAACTTTGTGTCCTCGGTCAGGAGGGTTTCATCTCAGGGAAGCACTACTGGGAGGTAGAGGTCGGGGAGAAAAGTAGGTGGTTCTTGGGGGTGTGTTACGACTCTGTGGAACGCAAAGGGACAGTAAAGCTATGCCCTGGGACTGGTTACTGGGTGATAGGGCTGTGGAATGGCTGTGAGTATTTTATTTTCAATCCTCACCGAGTATCTCTAACATTGAGAGTGCCCCCCAGGCAAATAGGAATCTTCTTGAACTATGAAGCTGGAAAGGTTTCTTTCTTCAATGTGACTGACAACTCCCACATATTCACCTTCACTGACAAATTCTCTGGGACCCTTCGCCCCTATTTTAGGCCCCGATCTCATGATGGAGGAGAACGGATCATTCCTTTGACCATCTGCCCATTTCCTAACAAGGGTGATAGAGTAGATGCCAAAGATGATGATGATTGTGACACCTGGTTACAACCCTATGATTTATCAGAGAGCACTGAAAGTGAGTAGTAAGGGTCCTTAAGATCTGGGCAGGATACTTTCTCAAAATGTGCTATCTAAACTTTGGGTAAATCTCCATTGTTTAAGTCTCCTAGAAAGCAGTAAAGCTTATGTAAGCACATAAATACTCTATAGTCAATTCAGAATTATCTATGATCATGGAAGACAGGAGAGCACATATTAACTGGAGGGCATTCTTCACCTCAATTTAGCTAATACTTTAGGTACCATCTTCTTCTAACTCTCCCAAAATCTCTTTTAGTAGAGTTGCTCATGGATAATTAAAACTTCTATATCCTTGTTCCCCACCTACTCCCAGACATGCCCATCCTCTGGTCATAAGTCATCACTATGTCAAAATAGCAGGAAACAAAATGGAAAGAAAAGAGAGAGGTATGAATATTCATGTTATAATCACTCTCTTAAATACTCTTAATGAATCAAAAAGGAACTGATCATTCATAAGCAACTATCTTATAGGAACAAAATGGTTATTACTTACATAACATATTGTGGATTTATTTTTAAAAGAATGTCTATTGCTAAATGCTTGGTAATAAGAAAGCTAAAAATAAGTAAAGGTATTTTTTAAAAGCTTGATTTTGGGACTTATTCAAACAGCTATTCTCATGTTCTTAGTGATCTCATGTGGAATATTTAATCACGTTTTGCTGTTTACATTATAATCAGATGAAACATTTTTAAAAAAATGTTAATGTGTGACTACCATGGAACTCAGAAAATAAAATTTTATTCTTAGAATCATTTACTTTGGTGCCATTTTTTTTTAAATCTCTCATCATTGAGCTTCCATAACACCATTAGCAAAAACAAATGTAGAGTTGTTCCTTCAAAGAACAGAAAACAACCTAGAGCTGGTGGACTGATGATTTTGCTTAGCCTTTAGAGAATTCATCTTTTCCTTAGGATCCACCTTTGTGTCTTAAAAATAAACAAAAAGTATTGCTGCGATATAGAAGCCAAATGTAAATTGAAATAATCTTTAAAAAATTATTCATGGTGGGGCAGCTAAGTGGTACAGTGGATAGAGATCTGGCCTCGGACTCAGGAGGACCTGAGTTCAAATGTGACCTCAGACAGTTGACACTTACCAGCTATATAACCCCAATTGCCTCACAAAAAAAAGTAAAAATTAAAATTTTAAAAAGTGTTTAAAAAAATTATTCATGTCCTATTTTAAAGCACCGGGGGATTATCTTTAATGCTGGAATATAAAGGCTATATTTCCTACAATTCCACCCCCTTTACACACATACCTCTTCCCATGCAATCAGGCAAATTAAGTCTATTCCTATCTAAAACCAAGGAGAATTCAATTCAACAATGTAAAATGTTTATGTGTTTCTCTTATGCAGTACACACATCATTTGATCTTTGTTTCTTTCAAGATTAAGACTACTAGGTATAATAATACAGAGCAAAAGTCATCACTTGCAATATTGTTCAGTGCCCCCTTGAGGAATACTGAAACTTTAGGGAAAATTGAGTGAAACTGGTGCTAGCTGCCAAGGACATGATGGGTCTTAAAAGGAATTTAGTCATCACAACCTAAATATTAAGTGGGCCTGGGGAAATGCCTGCGGATAGGGAGCAAGGAAATTGGAAAATAAAGAATTTAACATAAACGACTCTACTGTGCTAGCTGGGTGCAGTAGTGGGTTTGATTTACAGAATATTTGAAAAGTCTAGGGCCATTTTAAAGTCTAAGGCCATTGGGTATTCCCACAAAAGGGTAATAGTATTCCCTGTGCTGATGAATCCTAAATTCCCTTATCTGTAAAATGAGAATAGGAATGTAACACCTGCCTGGGTAGGTTTTCTTTTCCTCTACGTTTTCCTACACTATTTCTGTCATGTAAACCAAAAGAATAGAAAGTGTATGGCTGAACGGCTTCAGGGAATCATAGAAAAATAATTAGTTGAAGTCATTCAATGTGAAACTACAAAGGAACATTTAAAAACAAAAAGTTGGTAAACATGCCAGAACATAGGTAGAAACTTCAGACATACCCGAGATGCAGCACAGAGTGAGCTATCAGCTTGGACTTATCTAACAGTCCTATGGTAGATAATTTATAATGATGATGACTGTGTAGACCCGTGAGTGCACTGGTGTAATGAATTTCCAGCAAGGAAGCTACTATACCAATGCAGAATGGCAACTACTCTACAACTTAAGATCTTAGTTAAGTAATTTGTTGAGGGTCATAGACAGTATGAGCCAGAGGCAAGATTTGAACCCAGGTCTTTCTGCCTCCAAAGTTGGCCTTCTAGACATTGCATTGTATTGCCTTTATGTATGGTTATTTGGTCTGATCCCTTCATTGTAGAGATGGGAGACCTGAGTAGTTTAACGACTAGTTCAAACTCACTTAGAAATATCAAGGGAGACTTCATGAAAGAAGTAGCTGGGCCTTAAAGGAAGAAAACAATTCAATGGTTGGGGATGAGGAGGTTACAGACATGGAACCCTTTCTTAGAGAGATGACTTAACTTAAAAGTAACTTACACAGTAACTTAAAAGAACATGGTGTAATCTAAAGGGAAAACTTGTGGTAAAAATGCTATTACTTCTGTCAGTTCCAGTGGATTTATGCCAAGAGAATAGGCTAATCACGGGTAACATAAAAAGTAAATAAAAAGAAAAACCAATCATGAAAAACCTAAAACCAGAAGCAACATAAAAGACCCTTTTAAGAAAGAGTTCCCATATTCTTCATCATCAAATCTTTAAAAGGAGTCCAGTTTCCTCCACTGTGAAATAAGGGCTTTGGTATAGGTGATCTTTAAATTTTTTTCCAAATTTAAAATTCAATGATTCGATGAAAAAGATATTTCCCTGTTCTTCCTTATGACTGAAGGAAAGTATCTCTAGCCGTATTGTAAAGACCACAATGAAATCTAAGGCAGAGCTTTGGAGTTTTACACTGGATATGTAGGTTAGATTTCTTCTCTTGAAAAAAGCCAGGCATTTCCCTTTGTTTCTGTTTGTATGTTGTATCTTAAACCTCCCTGGGAGGGTAGGGTTCTAGTGCCTTTTTACCGAAGGTCTAAGATTCCTACAAAAAAGAAAAAGGAAGGGGGGTGTATAATTGTGCCCTGAGATAAAAACAAAAGGAAAAGGCATGGTTCCTGCTTTCACAGTACTTGCCTAATGGCAAATAGGCAGATGTGCCAGAACTTAAAGGGATAGGTTCCCATTTATAGGATCCCTTGCTTTGAATTGGCCCTGAGGAAGGATGGCTGGAATAGCAACCTGTATTGCACAATACCTGTGTAGGTGTCACTCCAAACTTGACCTCTTCCAGTGCACACGTGAAACGAGGAGTTTGGGAATTACACAATCCGAGTCCCTTTCTAGTCTCTTTGCAAGAGAAAAGAGATCCCTTTCAGAGACTCCCCAGGATTTTACATAATCTGAGAGTATGACTTAATCCTAGAAAAAAAAATCACAATCCGTTTGGGTGCTTTGCCCCCCTCCCTATTCCCACTCAACCTCTTCCCCAACTTCAGCAACCTGAAACAATCACTCACGTCTAAGAACTGAATTAAATTGAAAGCTGTTTACACTAGTCTCAACTTTCTAGCTAGTCTCTTTTTGTGCTTTATCTCTCATTATTTGAACTGTCAGTGGACGCCAGACTTATACCAAATAGCACCTTGGTGTATCAGCCATAAGAAGAAAGTGGCCATTGGCTCTCTGCTCTACCATTCAACCTTTCTCACTTGTGTTCAGCGATAATCATCTACCCTTGAACCCAGTAGAGATGGCACTCCCTCCCTGATTCACGCACCAGTGAAAGGTGAAACCAGTACTAAGGGTTCTGAGGTCAAGTGTACAGGGCACAAGATTTCAAATGACAAATGGACTAGGAAGGAAGTAAATTGGCATTTATTAAGTGCTTACTATGTGCCAGGCACTACGGTTAAGTGCTTTACAAATATTTCATTTGATCCTCATAACAACACTCTAAGACAGTTGCTGTTGTTATCTTCATTCTACAAAGAAACCCAGGCAAACAGAGGTGAAATGACTTGCTCAGTCACACAGCTAGTAAGTATCTGAGGCTGGATTTGAACTCAAGTGTTCATGCAGCCAGGGATCCTTCCTTTGCATCACCTAGCTGTCTCTGTAACCCAAATGCTATGAAAATGAAGTAGAAAGTTTCCCCCCCAAAATTCGATAGCATTTTCCAGGCATAAGAGAGACATTCTCTATTTTTAGACAATTTATTTTAATGCCTTTTTCAGTACTAATAAATTTGGAAATAATAATTTGATAATTAATGATAGTTTTTCAGTGCTAATTTATATCTAGATTCTACCCCCCACCCCCATACTTTGGTATCTTCCTCTCCTCTAGAGATCTTGTATATTCATTCCTCCACATACTAACAATTGGGTCTGTTTTAATTTTTTGAATACTTATGTAAGGAGGGGGAGGGGTTGCCCTGTATCCTGAGCATGCTCAAATAGCCAAACATAGAGATATTCTGCTTCCCTACCATATGAGAGAATGTCGCCTCCTTTGTCTGTGTAGCTGAAACAAGATATGTCTTTAAAAACTGCCAGGCTAGGAGAATCTCTCTCTTTCCTGCCCACTCTTTCCTTCTGTGTCCAGAGGATGAAGATCATGGTTCACCCACAGTGCTAATGCCTGAACTGGTGAAAAAGGAAAGACTTCCTTCCCCTTCTCTTTTACTCCCACTCACAGAAATGAGTCTGGGGATATTTGTTTCTATCTGTGTCATTTGTCCTTCTCAGCTTTCAGATGATCCCCAAAGGAGGTCAAGCCATGGTGATCTTAGAGCTAGGATTCCAGGCAGGATATTTCAGTCAGTCATCCTAGAAGGGGAAGCCCTGAGAAGCCAGGGATTTACTCAGTAGCCTAACCCCCCAGGGGTAGTTTGGACTTGGAGCTAGGACTGCATTCTAAGGAAACTAAACTAAATTATGAACTTCCCTTCCCTTCTTCAGAGACTGAGAATGGTATAAGCGGGGGAGAGGGAATTTTACCTCCCAAGTTCGTATATTTATGATCATACCTTTTGAAGTAAATATTTCTTTGTAAAAGCCAATCTGGCTCCGGAGCAGCTAGGTGGGACAGTAGATAGGACACCAGCCCTGGAGTCAGGAGGACCTGAGTTCAAATCCTGCCTCAGACACATAATACTAGCTGTGTGACCCTGGGCAAAAAAAAAAAAGTTAATCTGATTGTGAAGGATCTAAATGGAACTTTGGAATGCAGGGGACTACTCCTACAAATGAGGGAACCAAGGAGCCATTGGCAGAGAGCCTAGACACCCCCCAATTTCCCTTAAAGGCTCACTGGAGAGCCCAAGAAGAGGAGAGAAAGGTAAAACCCTTGGCCTTCAGGCAGTAGGGGCCAAGGTGGTCAGTGTTACTCTGAAAAAAAGGCAACCAAAAGAATCTCAATAACTATCATTTGATATGTCTGCTTTCCTACCTATGCCTAGTCTTTTTGAGAGGCATCTAAGAATTGAGGGCAAAATAAAGAATGCTTCCTTATTGTGGACAC